TTACGAAATTTTAAAATTGAATTTTACAAGAATGAAACTAGTATATGTATAAACTGAAAAATTATTAACAAGCGTAAGCAATTTAAATAAACTCTAACGGACAAGTACCATAAATACTTAAGTTAAATACAATACATAAAATTGATTGGTGGAAGACAAATTTAATAAACTAGACATAAAATTTAAATGGTAAAACAAAAACTTTGAAGTTAATTAAAATGCCATAAGGTGAAAATCGAACACATACATATATACATATGTTTAATGACAGTTTCACAAATTCTTCACACAAAAAAAAAAACAAAAAATATTGCACAACAGTTTGAAAACCACTTATGTACGTACATACTATGTATATGAAAATGCAAGTGAAAACACTTTTATTAAATTTGTATCATAAAATTAAGAAAAAATATATATTTCCCCTTCTTTGTGATACTAATTAATTACATTTTTCATACATATAGGCTGAGCAAGAAAAGGTGTTAAAAACATAAAGCTAAAGTTTGACATTAGGGGCTTACAGCGCATGCTTACATGCATACGAAGTCAAGAGTTGGTTGGTGTGAGAATATATAGCTCTCCCAATTAGTAATTTGGTCTTATCAGTCAAGTATCAACCATTTATCAGCCTGTATACCAAAAAAAAATTTTAAATAATTGCAAAAAAAGTTGTGGCCAGGGATTTAAATGGGAAAAATTTTAATGACATAGTAGAGCATTACGCAAATAAAAATTGTCATTAACTTTTCTGCCATATGGAATTTTTCAAATTGCGCAAATTTCTTGTTAATTTAACATTAGACATTTTTTTTTTTATTTTTTTATTTTTTTTTTTTTTTGAATTTTATTAGTATTTTGTGTTGTGAGGTTTTACTTTTCAAAAAAATATCAACTCCCAAGAAAAAAATTTATTTTCCATACAAAAAAAACATGTAACTTTCAAAAACAAAGAGATTTTTGGAATTTTGAGGTTTTTTTAACTGTATGATTGGAATGCAGCTGACTGACCCCTTTTTATTCAGAGAAAAATATGCTGCGGCGCTACAGCCCCTTTTTCACTTAAAATTTTGTTTAATTTCACTGAGATTTGGACAAAATACAAATTTTTACTAGCAGGTAATTTAAAAAACTGTTAGCTTGTCTAAAAAACTGTGATGTACAGGTAAAACTGTGACTATGGCAACATTGCTAATATTTTTTCCCCTTCTTTACCTTGTTGTATATTTTTTAGACTTATGCCAATTTAGCACCAGCCATTGAAATTAAAAAAAGAGTAAGCCCTTTAAAAAATGTTACGTGCAAACAGATGTTATGCTAGTATTGCCCACGCATTTCCAAGTTCGCCTTTAACACCTTTGTTATTTAATGCTGAGTGGAAATCCGGCATAATACATTTTGAAACTTCTTACAATTTAAAATGGTGACTGCTTCTTTTCTTTTTTAAAATGGACTGATTTCAATGTTAGTTGGAGTACTTTTAAGAAAAACTTAATATATGTATGTAACCAAAGATTACCAATTCGTGGACATTCAAATTAATGTTTCATTCTTTTAATTCGTTAATATTTTAAAATGTAATCTATGAAGTAGTTTTTAAAAGTTTGATGCAAAAAAAAATGTATAGCAATTGGAATGATAGATAATATTTTGTATTCCACTTAAATTTAGTATTTTATTTTTTATAATTACATACATAAATAAATGTAGATGTGGGAATGCATCAAGTCTTTAATCAGGTTTTCAAAAAAAAAAAATACATACATAGAAGTGATGTTAGAACAGCATGTAGAGTAGCACAACATGGAATATTTTTGGATAAAAAAAATGAAATCGGAAAAATAAATTTTGCACATCAGCTGGCAAAAAGAGGTTGCATACATACTATTATTTGTCTATAAAGAAATATTAGTTACATGCACAAAATTTAATTCGAAATGTAGAATTGAAAAAGCATGCAAAAAAAATTAATAATTTTGATGAATGGTGTTACAGTGTTTGTGTGTCAAGCATTGATTATTAAATATATGCATATGTACATCCATCGAACGCATGATGACATACATATGTACATAAATAAGCCAGTGGTATGTAGTAAAAAGTGATTCTGAAGCAAGGAAATGTAGTAGGGCACATACGTTGATGGCAGGAGTGTCGATATTGATAATAGTACGTTTAGGATGACGCAATTATGAAAATTCTTAAAATTATTATACTTGAAAATTTGCTTAATTATGATGCGTAAAAAAAAATGAGGGATGTGTATAACAAGAACAAACAAAAATTTAAGTATTGAGAAACCCAATATAAAGAGAATTGAATTGAAGTAAAATTCAAGCAAATGTGCGATATTGTAATAAATTATAATAACTTTGTACTTGAATTAATATTTTATTTAAATTAAGTCAAGATATTCAAATAAATTATAATCATTTCAATTTAACAATAAATTCTGTGCGTTTTTTTCGTGCTTGGGAGATAGATTCCACTTTCAGAAAACCACGTAAACGACCTTAGGACGTCCATCGGCGTAGCCAGAATGAAATTTAGGGGGGGCGGGGCTCGACCCTATTGAACTGGTATTTCAGGGTACTATTTTATATATATATAAGGAATGTTTAAAAGTTAGGGGGGGCGGCTCGAGCACCCCCCTGCCCCTACCTGGCTACGCCCATGAGGACGTCCATACAGTATTTGGCCGGGAGCAGAGGATATAGTCTGCATTATGATTACTGGGGCGATCAGATAATGTTCAATGGAAACCTTCAATGTAAAGACCGAAAATAACTGTTAAATATCAAGATTTTTATTTTTAGATCATTTTAAAAACCGATATATTGGGTTTGGTTTTCTATTTTTTCGGTCAAATTTAATCGTTATTTTGTGATTTTTTTTTTTCAATCAAAAATCGTTATTTTAAATTTTTTCGATAACTTTTAGCTATTAACTCTGGAAAAATTATTTTTGATATGAACGGATAATAATCAAAAATAACTATCAAAAAAATAGTAATTCAAAAAATACCCATCACTCTTGATCGAACAAATAAAAATCGTAAAATAGCGGCTAAATCTGATAGAAAAAATATATTTGCATACATACACTGCCGGAACAAAATATTGGCACAGCAAATTTGTCACCATATATGCAACAATTTTCATTCTAATCTTTTTCCGCTAATTTCGTATAAAAATATAGTTACAACAAGAAACATAAAAACATAATTCCTAAACTTTTTACAAAACTCGCGAAAATTCAGCAAATTTTCATGAACATTTTCAACTTTTTAATCAGAAATTTTTTAGATTTTTTTTTTTCGAGTATGCAGATTTTTAGCCCAATCAATTTTATTGTGCAAGTACAAGTTTTAAGTAGCTAGGAATTACTGTTGCTTTTTGGCAATTTTTTCTTCACGCAGTCTCTTCCATACAAAAATTTTTTTTTTAAAATACTTTATATGGAAAAAGTGCAAAGCACCTTCAACAATAAAAATTCCCAAAAATCAACGCAATTTTCAACTAACCCGGAACTTGCATTTTTTTACTAGAATTGGCTGCAAAACTGCATACTCCAAAAAATTCTAAAAAATCTTATTAAAAAGTTGAAAGTTTTGATGAAAGTTTGCTGAATTTTCGCGAGTTTTGCACAAAGTTTAGGAATTGTATTTTTATGTTTTTTGTTGTTGAATGAACCATATTTTTATACAAAATTGGCGCAAAAATATAAGAATAAAAATTGTTGCATATATTGTGAAAAATTTGCTGTGCCAATACTTTGTTCCGGCAGTGTATATATTTTTTAGTCAGATTTAACGATTACATTATGATTTTTATTAAAAATAAACTTTTACGGTTTCTGCTTGAAGGTCACCTGCGCTATACCACTGATTGATCTTTTGTGAGTGTCGTGAAGTGGAAACAGCATCTGTGGATAAACCTGCATATGTACATATATTCGCGAAAAATCTGATTTCATCTGTCCTACGCTTCTTTCCAGGCAAAAAAAAATATTTCAAGGAAATAGGATACTGCATTTACTGAACGTTTCGAAGTGTCTACTTTTACGAGCGGTTCAAATCTGGATTTGGACATAGGGCGACGAGTTTTTCGACTGACCTTCAAACCGATAAGTTTATTCGCGTATCAAATTTTGGCCAGCTTTTTTCAGCCGAATGCCATTTTTATCAGAGAGGCAAGTAAAATAGTTTAAGCTTCAGAACGAACCAGCGAAAGTATTAAAATTTTTATCGACTAGCCAGGTGGCGATTAAGGCAATTGGTTGTGTAAGTATTAGTCTTATTAAGCTAGCCCGAAACGATTCAGCTCGACATATCTTAGTGGCAGAAAAGGTTCTTGCACTTCTGAACTACATATGATGTATGTATGTACTATGTATATCAAAGCCCACATCTTTCAGCACTGACAATATGTGGCTAACCGCAGTTGGAAATTCGTTAGGGTAAAAGAAATTTAACTTATCAACGAATCAGACAGGAAGAATTTACCTCGACTGACTGCCATTTTTAATGTTGTCACGTGACTGTAACTATTATTACTATTATTAACTGTCATTCTATTTATTCTTTATTTTATTTAGCTGTCTATTATCTCTATAAATTACAACATTACATACACTTGCTACTTTTTATCCCTTCAATTGAATTTAACGAAGCGGGAAAAAAGCCCGGAAGTAGAACGAATTGGTCTAACAAGCGCATGACGTTTAATTACTTCATTTTACGAACGCATTATTGTGCTTAAGTACGGCAGCACTTGCCTGAAATAAAAGGGATACCATCGCCTCAATCCACCGAAATTTTAAGAGCCCATTAAACAAATAAATTTCGCCTTATAATCTAAATAAAAAATAGTCAACATTTTACAAAGCAAGTCATGTCCAAAAAATATAGTTATTGAGGAATTTTGCATTGATTTAATATTAATTTGATGAAATGTTCTAATAAACGTAAAAACCGAAATGCCTATGAAATCATCTGTTTGCCTTTACCATGTCAACCCTGCTAAAGGTGACTTCTCCGGCCTTTCAGCAACCACCTGCCAAAGTGATTCCCATATCGACACAGCAGTTCCAGAATTAAATTTTTCCCGACAAGCGTACCGCAGCCTATCTAAAAACGCACAACTGTTGTGACACAATAATTAAACGCACATTATTCAATTCAATCAATCAGCCACTTGTTGCAATTCCCAGCTGACAAAATGAGCGATGAACGAAAGACGCTGGCTATTAAACTATACGAAATAAATGCCTTCAAATTTGGTGATTTTAAGATGAAGGTTGGCATTAATTCGCCTGTATACTTTGATTTACGCGTTATTGTCAGCTATCCACAAGTGATGGTAAGTTAAAATTTGCAATAACTTAAAACTATGCGTACTATATAATGTTTTAACATGGTTAGAAAACTGTCTCGGATTTGATTGCTGCCCATATCAAAGAGCAACAATTGACGGCGAAACATGTGTGCGGTGTGCCATACACAGCACTACCTTTGGCCACGTTAGTAGCCGTACAACAGAATACACCAATGTTGGTGCGACGCAAAGAAGCAAAGGATTATGGTACCAAAAAACTTATTGAAGGTCTCTACAATGCCGGTGACACGTGTCTTATCGTAGAAGATGTTATAACATCAGGCTCAAGTGTATTAGACACAGTGCGTGATTTAGAGAAGGAGGGAATCGTTGTAACTGATGCTGTTGTTGTAGTAGATCGTGAGCAAGGGGGTGCTGCCAATATAGCTAAGCAAAAGGTGCGCGTACACTCGTTATTTACATTGTCTTTCCTGTTGAATACGCTGCATGAAGCAGGAAAAATTAAACACGACACTGTGGATGCCGTTGCGCGTTATATAGCTGCCTCACAGATTAATAGCGATGGATCATTTGTTAATCCACAGAAGAAAGATGGTGGTAAGTAAAGATCTAAGAGTATTTGGGCTACGTATTTGAATATGAAACTGTATCCACTTAAAGATTTGCAAACCTTAAAATTACGGGCAAATCGTAGTTTTACATTGTCTAAAGATTGCCGGTCATAGAGAGATGTTCGTAACATTCAAATATTTCCTTGCCAATTTTAAATAGAAAAGAGCTTCAACATTCTTAATAATGCTGCTATTTAACACTAAAAGGGAACAGTATATATCGAGGACTCCAGTAGTCTATTATGATGTCAATCTAGATGCTCTAGGAATATTTCTGCATCAAAAAGAAAATTTTGAAAAAAATGTCGCTTACGTTATTTTGGCGGTTAGGGCTCGATATGTAAAGTACTAATTAAATGATCTTTTTCTAATTGAAGTAATCTTCATAAGTTACGTAAACACACACATATGTACCGGTTCTTAACAACTCGGTCATTCGCGTTATTAATGTATGATTTTTTAATATTTTTTTTTTATTATACACCTGTAACTTTCATACACCACAACTCAGCATGATATCTTACAAAATACGAGATTATAATAAATTCTTATCTTGCAGGCAACGATTTCTCACGCACCAAACTCTCATATGAGCAACGAGCCACTTTAGCAAAATCTGAATTAGCCAAGCAGCTTTTCAATTTGATGGCCAGCAAGAAGACAAACCTTTGTCTTGCCGCTGATCTTACTCAATCCGAGGAAATTCTAAATATTGCCGACATATGTGGACCCTATATATGTGTGCTAAAGACTCACATCGATATTGTCGAAGATTTTAGCGAGGCATTCGTTAAAAATCTACGCGCTTTGGCAGACAAGCATAATTTCTTGCTCATGGAGGATCGCAAATTTGCCGATATTGGCAATACAGTATCACTTCAATATGGTAAAGGCATTTATAAGGTTGCAAATTGGGCGGATTTGATTACCGCGCATGCAATCACCGGTCGCAGCATATTGCAGGGACTCAAAGCTGGCGTCGCGGATACCACTGCAGAAGTGCGTAAACGTGGCGTCTTCTTGCTTGCCGAGTTATCTAATTCTGGCACTTTAATCGATGTCAAATATTCGGAAGCAGCCAGCAAAATTGCCACCGAAGGCGCAGACATCGATTTTGTAGCCGGCGTAGTGTGTCAATCGGTAAAGTGTTTTGATTTTCCCGGTTTGATACAACTCACACCTGGCGTGAAAATCGACGATACCAGCGATCAGTTGGGTCAACAATATCAAACACCTGAGCATGTGGTGAAAGAACGTGGAGCAGATATTGGCGTTGTGGGGCGTGGAATTTTACAAGCGAAATCTGTTGAAAAGGCAGCGGCGCTGTATCGTGATCGTCTCTGGGCGGCATACACTGATCGCATAGCGAAATGAAGTGAAGCGAATTAATTGAATTGCTTTCATACCTCCTAGTTATTATAAAGCTAAAAATTATGTAATTAAAACAACATTCCTTTTATCGATTGTTTTTGTATGATATTAAGAGATTAAAACAAAGTGTTGGCATTTCAAAGGACTTGAATTGCAGAAATAAAATACTAGAATACAAATTTTAATGTTGTAAAACTGAATAAAGTTCAAAAAACATTCATCATGTACAGTCAAGTTGCGAAAATTTTATGTTTTTTTTGCATTTTCAACTTTAAGGCCATTTTTCACTTTGCTAGTCGTAAGGAATGTAAGACTCTATTCGCGAAGAGCAGGGGTAGTGTAATCGCCGCCATCTTGAAAACAAGGGTGGTCAAGGTTTTTTCATAAATGGTAGTTAAACTCCATAAGAATCTGGCTCCTTTTAATAATTTTTTTTACGTTTCCACTTTTTCTACAATTACCCAATTTTAATAAAAATTAAATTTTATGGATAATGAATGGACTTCAAACACAACTCTCGCCTTTGAAGACCTAATAACAATATTTTGGCCGCACGCTGTTCTTTGTACTGTTGTCGTGTTGCCTTTTGAACTGTTTTAAATCTTCACAATTGTCTCTCGACACATCGCTGTCAAAAATCTCATACCTAATTCTTGTTCCGACATCTCATCCTCTTCTTGACGGTCAAATGTATATGCCACGAGAAGTGACCAGTCAACAGTCCCACATGTTTTCTGCAGTCCCATCTGCTCAATGAAAGCAAATACCTAGCAAGACCCTATGAAATTAACAGTTTTGCCCACTAGCAGCCCCCTGGAAGCCTCCCAGTCATTGCTGAGCGAAATATTCACAGAGTTTCTTACAATGGCTTCGATGGACGAAAGTGAGGGTGATATAACTGGTTGGGTTGCGTACCGAGGAATAATTGGTCCGAACCCTCTCTGGCCAAACGGATAGTTACCTCATTACCAGGTACTCCCGAGTGGCCTTAGGGGCCTCTCCGCGGTAGGTTCAGCAGCTAGATTTGTTGTAATTAATTGTTACACAAAAGTAGTAATGACTGGCCCCTCTCCGCTTACTGGTAACAATAACTGGAAAAGAGTAGCCGAGGATATAACGACGAATATTGCGTATACTACATTATTATATCCAAAAAAAAAATAAAATATTTTTTTTTAAATATGTACCTCTTTTTATTTTCTAAATGGAACTTAAAACACTTGAAATAAAAGTGTAACTTAATTTTATGATTTAACGTCTCCAATTGAAACTAAAGCGCCACCCAGAGTGAGTGAGTAATATGGTGGTTTGGTGGTCGCTTGGAAAAATAGTTCACTACTTAAATACACATAAATTTTATGGTCGATCTTAATAAGATGCCAATGTAATCAAAGCTGTGCCGGTATCACCACCAACGTCATCCTGCAAAAAACAAAAGAAAATAGCAAATCCATCAATATATTAAGTTGGTTACAACTATGCACTAAAATTTCTACTATGAAATGAAATAAAAGACAAGTTATTTTGTTATACTTATAAAATCAATTATTGCACTCTGCTATTTATTTTCTTTTGAAACTACAAAGTCGCGATAAATTGTTTCAAGAAATTCATTTGGCTATTAATTAACACTAATAAACATGCTATAAATTTATCTGTACGTATATGAACTTTGTTCGGAGAAAATGCTTTCGAATTAGCTTTACCATACGTACATACATACATATACATATATGTATGTACCATATGTACTACAAAATATCGATTGCAAAGATAAACTGAAATTATAAAATATAGTTAAAGCCAAGCCTTTTTCATTGCTCTCGAACTTAGTAGGATATTTTGGTTTCATTTAATTTATAAATACTTTTAAATATTCTAATACGATTTTCTGAGTTTTTAGCAGGTCGTCTTGCTTCACCAAGTTGCTTCTACGCTGCTTTCTTTCCTTTCGCGCACTACATCTCAAGCAATTTACCAAGCGACCAGAGTGACAAGCGCTAAACCGATCTCAGTGTCGGTATCCTCCTGCAAATCACACAACAGAGGCAAATGGGTGGGTATTTAGTGCATATTGGTACGTAATTTGATTTATTAAATATGGGGTAGCGAAAATGGAAGATCTTTTTTTTTTTTGTAAAAACCTTTTTCAATACATATTTTCTTTTATTCAAATACATATAATAATAATACCGAAAGTGTAATGCATGAATTTGGTTAGACGTGGTGGGTATACTTAATATTTAAAATAAAAATTAAAAAAAAACTAATTTTATTTATTAAAAATATATTCGTAATAGCATTTTTGTGTAAATGTATAAAAATTGAATGTTTTAGAATGTATAGAATTTCGAAAAAATACTAAAAAAAAATGCGTATTTCTACCTCAATAAAAAACATTACAAATTTAGCCGCTAATACCAAAATATCTAGGTAATACACGCAAAGTAAAATACAAAAAACATTGTAAAAAAGTTAAAGCTTCCGAACTTGGTTCGTATTTTTTTGTTCTATCAATTTTCAATTTTAGTAAAATAATTTGCATTAGAAAAAATGTAAATTCATATTATGTTAAAGCTTTACACATACTATATGTATGGATTGCATTATGTATAAATATATGTTTTAGTGTAACAGGCTGCCTTGCTTCAAGCTGCACTACGTTGTTTACTGCATCTTGTCGAACTACCAAGCGACCATAGTGACTAGCACAAAACCGATCTCAGACTGTGAATCCTCCTGTTGTGGAGTGGTAAAAAATTTGTTTGTTGTTGTGTTTTAATAAGCGAGAAAATGAAACGGAAGAAAGAGTGGAAGAAACAAATAGTCAAAATTTAGTTTGGTTTTATAATTGTATAAAGAGGAAGCTTCAATGACAGTTAAGGTTTTAGCAGTCAGCATAGCTGGGTTTAGTTTATTTAATAAATATTTTTAAATGCAAGCGGTGATTCAAAAGTTAGTTGTTCACTGTCTGAGCATCTTTATGTTAGATTAATTTTTTTATAGATAGGTAAAAAAAGTTATCTAGTTAAAATGTGATGTGATTATAAATAAATCGGTTAATTACCAAAGTCAGCAATTTTTCGATGTGACAATTTTGAAGCAGTTCAACAGAGCTCCTTTAACCGAACCGGACTGCATCGAATTCGCCATAACGTAAAAAGTTGACTTATTGCCTTTGATAATTAACCGGTTCAAATGTGTACATACATATGCATGTATGTATGTATGTATTTATAAATGCAGTAGTAGTTGTATAGTGGAATTTATATTTTGAAAGACAGCCTCCAGATTGTAATTTCTTATAAGCATTCGAGAATTTACAGGTGTACATATTTAATGACAAAAACGCCTAAATTAGGAAAAAGGCGTACTGAAATAGTCCCAAGGTCCAAATCTAGCCCCGAAAAGGTTCTGAGCTAATCACAAGCTATTCCCGAAGTTACCCTTAATAAATCCTGAACTAGTTTCGAAATGGCCCGAACTAGTCCCGACACGATCCCGAACTATATCATCATACAGTGTTGCTAGAACGGGTGATTAGATTTGTTTTCATTTGTACTGCTCTGAATCCATCTTAGTATACGCGTGAGGGTTTACGCAAATTTTGCCAATACCATCAAATTATCCTATACCCAAGTGAAAATAATTTCAGCATTTTTTAAATTTCCGCCTTGCTCTCTATCAATACACTACTGTAGTGAATATGTCTAAAACTATGCAACAAAAAGTGGTAGCCGGTTATATTTGCTTTGTGGAATTCTCTTAGCAAATACTACATATAAACATGACCTGTTTCTAATGAAAAATTACAGAGTTTTTCGCTAAAATTCGAAAAATGTTTGACCGACTTGAATAGCTTTTTTTGATTCATGCGCTATAACACACGGATGGTTTAAAAATAAAAAAAGGAGTTGCCACCTATTTGAAAAATGCCGATTGATAAAGAGAAATTATGTATCAAAACATGGGTGTCAATAGAAATAGGTTTATGACAGCTTAATTTTGAATAATTTTTAAGAGGGTTGCCACCTGTTTGAAAATTGTATTCAAATAAATTGATAAGGTATATTGAATATTACAATAAGGGTTTCTAACTAAAGAGGTTTAAGAAACCTTAATTTTAAAAATACTCTTGAATAGGGTTGCCACCTGTTTGAAAAAAAATGTATTTAATAAATTGATAAGGTAGATGAAAGTTTACAATATGGCTATGAAACAAGTGTTTTAAGAAAGATTAATTTCTAAAAAAAACATGAAGAAAGATTTTACAACATTTGTATTATCAGGTGAGTTATTCAAAAACACTTTCCTATATTAAAATTTATTTGGATCGTTTTTAGTTATAGAGCTCAAATACGAAATATTAAGTGTTTACTCAACTACTGATTCGTACAAATATAAAAACACGTAAGAAAAATATTAAAACATCAGATGAAAATTTAACATCACCAATTTTCTTCTGTCTGTACGATTTTTCTTAATTTCTTAAAATAGCCTGTGTAAAACTACATGTAAGGTACACTTTTGGACCCAATAGATGGCGTCATTGTCGAAATCTAATTTATTTCTAAACAAATTTTTTTCGCTTATGTCTGAAACCGTTCAACCGATTTCAATGAAATTTTGTGGGTCCTTCCCTAAATGTTGTTGTTTATTATTGTTATTAAATTTCGGTTAGAAGCAAATATTTCCCATATCAACTTAAAACGTATAATGTGGCCCATGTATAAAAATATAGTTAAAATCTTTGTTAGTCGCCCAAATTTATGTACATACATACATACATAGTTCCTAAACGAACTAAATATTCGTGTGCTCGGTGTTAGGATCTTTGTAGGTTATATAATCACAATAATACCTGTTGCTTTATTCTAAAGCTATATATAAGTTTAGTATGGAAAAGCCTTTGTTGCGACAAACTCACCTACGGGTTTTTATGTGTAATAAAAAAACATTTTTTTTTTTTATTTTTGTGTATATAAAAATGCACATTTATTCATAAGCCACTGGTTCAACTACAGAAGTAAGTATTATTTATACGAAAAAAAAGTCGGGCGCATTTTATGTATTAAAAAACAACTGTTTTTATATTGACATAACATTTAAATAGATAACAAAAACTGAGATTTTATGCAAAAAATAATAATTAATATTCGACGAAAAAACATCAGGGATGGATGCGAGTGTGGTGGTAGTAATACAATATTTAAAGTCTTGAATAGGCACTTTTTGCTACATTCACATTTTTATAAAAATCTACAATTTACAACAAAGTAGAAGGTAGTTGCATGTACATAAATATTATATTTTCTTGTTTGTAGGTTTCGGTATCCATAAGTTGTATATGTATGTACGTATTTGTTTGTATATATTTCTAGGCAGATAAGTTCATAGGTAGATAGTTACGTTGTGAATGTTTATTTGAGATTTTATGTACACATAGTATGTATGTATGTATATTATTATGTGCGTTCAAAAGTGCGTATAATGTAGAAGATATATGTATGTTTGTAGGAGGCTGCGGTCAACTGCGCCGCTATTTTCCTTCATTTTGTTTGTTTAGACAATATTTTTTACAACATTAGGTACTTTTGGTAAATTAAAAAATACATTCAGTTTTATATGATTTTTCTCCTTATTTAAATGAACAATGCGATCTTAGAATCCGACAATAGCCAATAGGGCACGCTTGTAATCGCCAGAGGTGTCGCCCTGAAAAAGTCGAATATTTTGTCATTTAATTTGAAAATGAGTTTGAAGCAGAAACGATCAATTATGGGTAGAAGAAAAAAGGGATTTTAATAATTTATTATAATTTTTTTTTTGTGGGTGGAAACCATAAATCCTTCATTGTGGTTTTTTAAGGCCCTGTCACCATTAAAATGGACGGAGTTAACAAAAAAACTTTTTTTGTTTAATTTATTGAAATATTTTCAAATAAACAAAAAAAAAAACTTAATTTCTCCTTAGTAAAAACCAAGAATGTTGAAAATTTATGATTAGTATCCGCGGGGAAAACCAAATTTTAGAAATTCAACAAAGGATTTAGGATTCAAGCGTTAGAATACTTTTTTGCAATTTCAGAGAGCGTGCATATACTCAAATGCAATAAAATCAAATTTTTGTAAAGCCCTTTATGTATTTAAATTGTGCTTGCAAGTGAGGTTTGAATATTTTTTAAACTTTTGTGCTTTTGATAATATAAAGCTTTCACATTTTCTATAAGCTCGCATTAAAGCTTTTGTTTATGGTTTCAAGTAAGCTTTCTAATTCACATTCAGATTTTGATCAAATTTTTGATTTTGATCAAATTTTTTCATTGGCTGCATTTCTTTATTCATTCTGAACGTTTGGAATAAACTTTTTTGTTTACTTGTTCTTTAGAACGTTCCTAATGATATGTCAACGTATATTTCAAACGCATTCTGTTTATTCCGGCTGTGAAATGGGATTATCCGGAATGTATAAAGAAACGCAGCCATTGTATTTTCATTTCTTTGGCATCTGAATGTCATTCTATTTGTTTTTTTGAATACATCATTTTTTCCAAATGGGTTTTTAAGTGTCCTATTATGTCCTATTTATTGTTTTGAATCTTTGAAAAAGCTCTAAACAGCACTTTTAAAAGCTTAAAAATTCTAAGTAGGCCTGAGACGAAGCTGTACTTTAAAGTTTGTACTTTAAATTTATCTATTATTTTATGTATGTATGTTAGTTATTAACATTTCACAACGCAAATATTTATAAAAACATATTTTCCATTTTTCTTCAAAATTTGTTTTACAAAAAAATTTTATTTTAAAGAAATTCACTTGATGTGTAAATATATAGGTAAAAATTGAAGCTCTAGAAAGTGCTTGAAAAAAATAGTTTATATTTTGGTCCAGAGCTTCGAATTCCAGCAAAAAAATCGACAAATTTAACGAACATTAAAAAATAGTTCGTTTTTGAATGAACTGCAAAACTTTTTGAAGTTTCTGTTAAAGTTCAAGTTTTTGGAGGGAATTATTCCTAAATGTACTAGCTGTAAATGAGTTAGATAAATATGGCTTCAGGGTCCGGCAATAAGCTCTAAAGAACCGCTTTCTAGAGTACCTATTTACACCGATTCAAAAAAGCTATGTCTGACTTAAAAACCTCAGTTTGAAGGTTCAAAAAAATAAAAAAAAATAAATGCAAATACAAAAATAAATAAAATCGTTACCTAAAAATCCGAGGCTCAAAAGCTTTTCCAAAACTAAACCCGATTTGCATGCAAGTAATATCTATTTGTGGTTTGGCATTCGACAACTGTGCAATTGCTTTTATTTTTCAGAACAAAGTCTTTTAGCATACTGACTGCCGGTTTCACCACCAGTTTAAGTGAAAAATAATTATTCCCTTCTAACAGTTTTCATATTAAATTCAAATAACAAAAATCAAGTTCCACTTAAATTGTTTTCCTGAAACTCGCTATTAGAGTTAACATTAGTTTAAATACTTTGTATTTTGCTTTATTCCAAACTATGCTAGGTAACGTGCAAAATGGTATCAAAAATTAATAGTAATAAATACTTGAACTCTCCAAACAAATAAGTAACTAAACTACCACCTTAGTTATGAGTTAGTAATCAATGCAATATGTATAATAAATAGTATGGATCATATGAAAATTTATGAAGATAAGAATTTTCCAGCGATTGGTAGAAATTGTTGAAACTTACAACTTTTTTCTCAAAACTTAATACCGCAAAGCTTTCTAACCATGCGCTGCAATATCCTTATACGTATGCCAGAGTGCAATAGAACACAAAATAGACATTCATATTTACCTTGATCCACGATTCCAAGCTCTTGCCATACTTATTTTGGAATGCTTCCTTAATATCGCCCAAATCAATTTCTGAACGACTGACCACAATACGAATCAACGTCTTGTCCTTGGTGCCCATACCGTGCATGGACTCGTACAAACGCTCGGCGAAGTAATCGACCTTCGATTTGCAACACTTCACTGTAAAAGCACAAAATATATTTAGCATTCTGCAAAATTAAAACCAAATAAATTCCACCTACCGATGGCGAGGAAGCCACGTTCCACCGAGCCGCTGAATTCACGCTTAATCGCCTTCTCAATATCATGTCCAGCGAGATTTTCGTATTCGAGGAAAATCTGTCGCAGCTGCTGGTAGGAACGTGTGATCAAAATCGAATTGAATGTGGATTCATCGGTGCCCCATTGGCCTTCGCCGGCTTCTTGCAAGGCTTGTGCGTCTGCCACAGCAGCGGCTTCATCAACACCCTTAGCAAATTAAATGAGAAATCGTTCATTAATGCACTGCTTAAGAGCGAGATAAAAAACACACACACACTCAGCTATAAAATCTACTCAACTCACCTGATTCTCATCGCGGTTGCCCTGCACCAACGACACACATAGGCGTTTGAAATGTCCGCTAGTGTCACCCTTCAAGTCTGACTCCAATGAACGACCAAAGCTCTGCTCATAGAACTGTGCAATAGTCTTAATACCGTAATTGGAAAGTGTGCAGAGAATTTCAATGATCGCCTCCTCATCGGTGCCTACGCCAGAGACGGCATCATGCAATTCGTTGGCGTAGAATTGTGGCAATGGCGTCATCAAGGCTACGATAACATTCTCAAATTTGCCACTCAATTCGGATTTCAATTCGGAAAGCAAATCCTTGCCGTAGGATGTTTTAAAAGCTTCAGCGATTTCCAGACGCTGTACAATGCCGCGACGTGCCAAAATTTCAATAATGGCTTTCTCGTCGGTGCCAAAGCCTTTCATGGCTTTGCGCAGAATGGCAGCATCCTCGACGGGATCGAAGGGGTCAGCGGGGTAAACAGTGGGGGTGCACTAGAAAGCGAAAGGTCAGAGAGAAAGTTTAATTTATTGTAATAAATATGTATGTATATAAATGAGGGAGATACATAAGTATGTATATAACGTAACATATTTGTATGTACCGTTAGTTCATTTCCTAAGTATGAAGTGTTTCGAAACGACCGTTTAAATAAAAAAGGTGGAGGCGTCTTAATCGCTGTCCAGACTGACCTTTCTTCTGAAGAAATTGAGTTCACTGACACCGATGAAGTTGAATTCCTCTGCGTTCGAATAAGATATCATTCTATTAGCGTTTATCTTGTTATATACCACCTAACTCGAGCCTTTCTGTTTATTTAAAACACTCCTCCTTACTGCTCTCTCTACATGCCATGGTGAAGCCCTCCGATACTGTTATTGTCCTGGGTGACTTCAATCTTGCGGGTGTTTCTTGGGATCTAATAGATGGTATTCTAGTACCAAATTCCTCTCGTGATCTCTTCAATCAATTTTTGAACGATCTGTCAGATCTTAGTCTTTACCAGATCAACTCTGTTAGTAATAACTTAGGTAAATGTCTGGATTTAGTTTTTGTGGACGATGTTTCCAACGTCACAATAGCCCCTAGCTATGCTTTGATTACCCCTGTTGATTCTCACCACCCACCACTAGAATTGTCCTTGATAAATTCACGCAACTCATGTTGCTTTATCAGTAAAAAATCAAGAGCGGAGCGTTACTCATTTAAAACAGCAGATTATAATAAACTTAGGTTAGAGATATCGAAGATAACTTGGCCCCAGTATGATGGGAATGCTGAAGATAGTGCCTTACATTTTAGCAATTCCTTACGCCACATTTTCAGTAAAATCATTCCTCTTGTTAAGGAAGCTAACGTAACGTCTAACGCTCAGTGGTTTACTGGCGAATTGAAACGCTTAAAAAATCAAAAATCCAAAGCATTTAAGCTTTTTAAAAAATCTGGCTTGTCTTCTCACTACTCCGCGTACTCCATTCTTAGGCATAAATACAATGTATTGAACAAAAAGTGTTACAATAATTATATTAACAGGGTTCGACTCAATATAGTTTCTAATCCCAAATCGTTTTACGCATTTGTGAACACTAAGCGTAAGACTAACGGTTATCCCTCAACATTGAAGTTAAATGACTTAGTTTCCAGTGACGAAAATATTATTGCCGATATGTTTGCTGGTTTCTTCGAGTCAAACTACTCTGCCAGTTCTACATCTTCCCAACTGAATTCGAATCTATCTAGCTACCCATTCGATCTGCCATCATTTGATTGTATCCGAATTCCATCGATATCTGCTGCGGACGTCCTCATTCATTTGAATTGTTTGAAAATTTCATATACAGCTGGCCCAGACGGTATACCCACAAGTGTTCTTAAAAGTTGTGCAGAGTATTTGTATAAGCCTCTGGCAAATATTTTTAATGCTTCCCTAAAACAGGGTGTCTTCCCATCTTCCTGGAAGGATTCGTTTATCTTGCCACTTTATAAAAATGGAAGTAGGACTAACATCGTAAACTATAGAGGAATTGCGAAGCTTTGTGCTATTGCTAAAGTTTTTGAGGCAATCGTTACGGAAGAACTATCTCACTCTATTACTTCTGCTATTGATCTATCGCAACACGGTTTTTGCAAAGGTAAATCAACTGTATCCAATCTTCTTGAATTCACTACTTATGTGTCTAATGGGTTTAAAAACAATCTTCGAACGGACGTGATTTACACTGATTTCAGCAAGGCATTTGACAAGGTATCTCATTCAACCCTTATATATAAACTTGATCGAATTGGCTTCCCTCCTATTCTTCTCAGCTGGCTTTCTTCTTACTTAGTGGATAGGAAACAAAGAGTAATTTTTAAAAATTGTACCTCCCGGCCAATACATGTCACATCCGGCGTACCTCAGGGCAGCCATATTGGTCCCGTCTTGTTTATTTTATTTATAAATGACCTTCCTAAGGTGTTGAATTACTCGAAATGCTTAATGTACGCTGATGATGTTAAGCTCTTTAAGTACATTAGTACTGCAGAAGATAGGGAGCATTTGCAAGCTGACCTAACCTGCATTTTCGAATGGTGTGAAGCAAATTCCATGTCACTAAATTTGAAAAAGTGTAAATTCATGACCTTCTCTAGAAAATCGTTCTATCCAAATTCGTATATGATATCTGACCTCAATGTTGAGCAAGTGACCAATTTCATTGACCTAGGTGTAACTATGGATCCGAAACTAGAATTCAAGTCTCACATAAACTCCTGCGTGATTAGGGCTAGAGGATTGTTGGCTTTTCTTAAGCGCTGGGCCAAGGAGTTCAACGATCCTTATGTCACTAAAGTTCTCTTTACCTCTCTAGTTAGACCGATTTTGGAGTATGCATCTATAGTATGGAATCCTAGCTATCAAATTCATAGTGACAGGCTCGAATCAGTGCAGAAACAGTTCCTGTTATTTGCCCTCAAAAATTTATGTTGGGACTCGTCTAAAAATCTCCCACCCTACAAGGATCGCCTGAAGCTTATAGATTTGCCGACGCTTCAGAGTCGTAGAGAGATGCTTGGTGTTCTTTTTTTAATTAAATTAATGAACGGGATGGTCAGTAGTCCCTTTTTACTGAGTGAGATAAATTTTTGTATTCCTACAAGACCCACGAGACATTTTAAACCTATTGTGTTGAGTATTTGTAAATCAAACTTTGAAATGCATGATGCTTTTCGGTGCTTATGCCAAGATTTTAACAAGCATTATGATTGCATCGACACATCTGAATCGCTTTTTGTAATAAAGAAAACATTGCTCAACAAGTTAACTAAATAAACTAATATCTGCAACCGTGAACGAAAAATTACACAATATCTATGACTGCTTAGTACAATTGTAACGGCTTCGTATATTTCCGCGACCGCGTAGGACAATAGGAGCAGGGATCGGAAACTCGGCCTTTCCGACCTCGCCCAACAGTTCGTCTATAGCGTGGAGCGGAAACTAGGACTTTCCGCCTGCCTCACTTACAAAGTAACGACTACGGGAACATGGATCGGAAGCTCGGCCTTTCCGACCATGATCAACGGCCTGTAAACAGGGCGGAGCGGAAACTAGGTCTTTCCGCCCGCCGCACACAAAAGTAGACTGGAGACAAGGCCTCGCCAGCTACCCAAATTGCTATTGAATATCATTGTTATCTTTACAAGTTAATATTTATAATTATTTCACTCTGTAATGTATCACACATACTTAAATATTCTAAATCTTTTTATCTCAACTGTCTGTAAGAAAACATTTTTCTGTAGACTAAATAAATAAATAAAAAAAAAAATGGGGTGTGTCAAATTAAAGGGCGTGGTCTGTAGATGCGTAATAAGGTCTTTTTTATGAAGAGTTGCCACCGTTAAAATAAGTTGATTGAATTATTACAATACACATATGTATGTACAGTGACGAGCAAAACTGTAACATGGTTTAACACTTTTTGTTTCAGCCACCGCTACATTTCCAAGTTCTAACGACTTTCAGCCTTTTGTTGAATATTCTTGTTGGTACATCCCTACTCCCTCTCTCATAATGATTTGAAGTCAATACAACAACAATAAAAAAACCAGCAGACAAAAATGTAAATTAAGGCAGATGTTACAGTTTTGCACTCACTCTCAGTTTTGCAATAGAACGAAAAAGTGTTAAGAAACATTTGTGATGTTTGAAGAGGGTTGCCTACTTAAAAAGTCAAATTCAAATTATTTAATAAGTGAAGTGAATTATTAAAAAATGGATATCAATCGAAAAAGGCTTGGAAAGGACTTCATTTTTAACCTATATGTAGGAGGATTGCCTCTTCAAAAAGTCCAATTCATGAGTTAATTGAAATACGTATCAGAATGTCAGACGAAAGAGATCTAAGAAGATTTTAGCTTGAACATAATTTTTAAGAGAGTGTCAAACGAAAGAGGCTTAAGAAGGCTGTAGTTTGAAAATATTTTAAAGAGTGTTTTGTGCTGTTTTAAAAGTCGGATTCTGTTAAATTATACACAAGTTATTAATAATTCATAGGTGTATTAAAGGAAAGAGTTTTAAGAAAGCTTTAGTTTGAAAAAAAATTTTGTTAAGGTTGCCACCTGTTCGAAAAGTCATATCCTTCTAGCTACATATGTATGTAACTTTTTTTTGTGAAGGTCGTCAGATCTGCTCCGTTTATTCGAATTTCAAAAAGTAGGTTCAAAATAAAGTTAGATGTTTATAAGTTTTTATTTCTTTAAATTAGAGTTTTTAGAGCGTTATAGGGTATATCGCTGCAAAAACAATTTTCGCAATTCTTGACAATTTCTTCTATGGTGTTGAATTTCTTGACCAATAATTTAAGCGTTTTAGCGTTAATGCGGGTTCAGTATTAGTTTTTTTTTTTAACTTTTTAGGATCAATACCTGTTTTTTTTCTCGATAAATTACCTATTTTATTCTAAGTTTCTGTAAAAAATTTCAAAAAAGTGCCACAGTTTCAAGCCAACACTTCACTAAACCTTTAGCTTTAAAATAAATGCTCGATGCATAGAAGCTTTAAGTGTGCTTTCAATCATCATCCATTACAAACGAGTTGAGCAGCCTGATACAAATGATTATTGCCGTTTACACAAAAGTTTGTACACGAACTTTTGAGCTTCATTAAGCATTTTCATCCATGTAGTATAGAATATGCGCATACTACTTATGTATGTATGTGCATATGTCGTACAAACAAACAGTATACAGCAAGAAAAGTGAACAAACAGAACCCGATAGCAAAATCATTTATCATATTTGCAAATATTTAGCAGCCATTTCTGTACATATAAACATACTGATTAGATTGCGGCAGGCATCACAAAAAGATGTGTTTTTTTTTAATATACGTACATACATGTATGTATGCGTATGCTTTACTTTCACTAACTAAAAAAAGGGAACTGCTGTACCGAATGCTTTTTGCATTTTTGAAATAGCACTCATAATAATCATCTTATGTTTGAGAACTACTTCATACAAACTGAAATCAAGGTCATCACTATAATTTTTAACCGTTATATAACACTATAACACACTATTTTATTATGAACTTATGATTTCCTGTAGAACTTTCGATTCTGAACTCGATTCCCCTTTCGAATGCCATTGAGTTTGCGCAAATATGTATATTTTTTTCGCCGAGGCATCGCGTTTTGAAATTTTAATATTTATGAATTTCTATATACACTGCCGGCAAAAAGTATTGGCACAGCTGCTTTTTTAGAATATATCCCAAATATTTTATTGTAATATTTTTCCGCCAATTTTTTATAAAAATATGGTTCATACTGCATGATAAAAAAATTGCCAAAAATCAATGGTAATTTATAGCTACTTAGAACTTCTACTATATTACAATAAAAATTTTTGGGCTACAAAATTGTATTACAATAAAATTTTTGGGCCCAAAAAATTCTCAAAAATCTGATTAAAAGCGTATAAATTTTCATGAAAATTTGATGAATTTTCGCGAGTTTTGCCCAAAGTTAAGAAATTATGTTTTTATATTTTCTGTTGTAGAATGAAGGATATTATTATAAAAAATTGGCGGAAAAATACTACAATTAAAATTTTTGCATATATTGTAAAAAAGCAGCTGTGCCAATACTTTTTTCCGGCAGTGTATGTACATATTAGAGAATCTATAACCCTATAAGCCACACATTTTCCATTAAAATATCAAAATGTCATAACTTGGCAAAAAAAACGATATTTGAGCAAACTCAACGGCATTCTGTGAAAACATTCATTTGCGATGCTACTTAACCTCAAATACGTCAAAAACTCTGTTTTTGGCACTTTTAGGTTATGGAAATCATATATCACTGGTTCATAAACAAGCAAAAAAAAATGTGTACAACAGTATAATTCATGATACAAAAAGAAGGTAGTTTCATTTCAAAATTTTTGACAAAAAATAAGTTTTTGAAGTTTCATAAATTGTACAAAATTGTGAGTAACCTTGCCACATTTATACGATCAAACAATACATCAGAGGATTTAATGTTGTGTATGGGAAATGTTCGGTTAAGTATTTGTACAATGATGTTTTGGTGGAGAGCGGAGGGAGAAGGGCTGTGCCACCTAAAACTACATTCATTAAAAAGAGCATAGTATAAAATTTAAGAAAATCCAGCCTTCTACAAGCACTCGGGGGCCATTTCAAAATGGGGTGAAATAAGCATTTTCGCAAAGAAAAATTAAACTCGTGTTAGGCCATCATCAGTATTTTTGCGCAAAACTCCTTTCCGCGGTGGTGGCCTTCGGCCGCGCCAGAAAAAATAACCTCATCAGTCCAATTCCGGTTATGCCATGCACAGTATTTTTGCGCAAAATCCTCCTCCAAATTTACAAAAAAAAAAGTGCATATTTCAACCCGAAATCTTTGTTTTAAATTAAAGCTTAATCCTTTGGCTAGACGTATATGTTACAATTTTTTGATTCGGGTCACGAGTTTGGACACGATAACCTAAGACCATTTTACAAATAACGGAACCGCACGCGAACTGTCTTACTTATGCATTTTTCTATAAACAAAAATTTTATAAAATGAAACTGAAGTAGTTTTCATCTTATGTGGATAATTTTTGTTACAAATACATATTTTATTGCTTATATTTATGTATATATATTTGTTAGAAGCGCCACATCTTTATCAGAAAATTCTGGGAACCCAAAAATTGCAACTTAACTCGACCTTCTCCCACTTCCATGGATAACGGCACATCGTTTAAGAGGTTTAAAAATATTTTGCGTCGGCAATTTGTCATCAAACTGCATTAGATTATATTAAGTACTTTATCCTCGGAAAAGCAAAAAATTTATTTTCAAACCTTTTCACAGGTGTACCGAATCTTGCAGTTTGGAAACGCGCAAGAATTTTCTGTAATATTTGCATCCAATTTCACTGACTTCAAAATTTGTTCTTACTTTTTCAAAAAACAAAAATCTTTCTGCTAGTGAATCTGGTAGCATGATTTTAGCTAAATGTCATAAACTTGTTAAAAGTCAAGTGGTCGACAACAACAACGAATGTCAATAAATGAAACTACCTTCTATTTTTGTATCATGGATTTTACGGCGCCTTGTGAAACCCTTAATGAAACTGTTTGATTATTGAATAGTTCCATATATTGGGCCTTATAAATAAAAACTTAGCAATTGATTTTTCTTAAAATGTCAGACATTTTACTTAAATTTATTTGAAGAGGTCGAGTACAAGTTCTGAAATTTTAAGAAAAAGCAATTGCTTAGTTCTTGTTTACTCTGGATATTAAAAATTAATTTATCTTGACATCTGTTAAAAGATTCCAGCGGCACTAGAAGAGTTTTTCGCGATTAGAATAATCGCCAACTACTTTGGTAAGTACTTCTCAAAGTAAGTATGTAGCTTTTGCAGGCAATATTGCAATTGTATTAGTAACTAAGCATCTAGATCAGATTTCCATGCTAGCCAATTCGTCTTTAATGCTTATAGATGAGTGACTGGACTTAATCGGAAAAATATGCATCGCTTTGATGCTTACTACAGGTGGTGTCAAACAAAATAGAAGGCGACTTTTGGCCGAAGACCCGAAATTGGTGTCGCTCTATGGGGCACAAGTTTGGGCAAATGCCTCCGCAGACGACTACGAAATACTTAAAGGTAGTGCCGGAAAAATCGGTACTGGACGGCAAAAGGTTTAGTGGGCTTAAATCTCACACTGACGGTGTGTATGCATATGTATGTATGCAAGTTCGCTTTCGATGATAACTGCCCGCTAAAAAATTGTTAGTCGTTGTAAAATCTATGCATTTTAAAATACCGCAGAATAAATTTATGAATGGTGTTCAACGCTTGAATTCTTTTGATAAACAATTAAGTTCAATAACAAGCTTCTATGTACTTTAGAGGCACGTATGTACATATGGATAGATGTTACTCATACCCAAGTAATTTTAAGAAGAATAACTACTTAAGTATTTATAATTATAAATTTCTTGATCCAAAACTCACCTTGAATGGATAATATTCAGCGGAGCTCATTTTGTTTTGTTGTTTAGTTTATTTAGTTGCTTAAGTTAATGAAATAAATAACGCTGTAATGAGATAGAGAAAAA